TTTAATTTTTAAAATTATAAAATAAAATATGGCCCCCTTAAAGGCAGCAGAGCTGAAATCCTTGCAATTGGAACCCCTTCTCTCCCCTAACCCCTCTCCTACAACCTAAGGCCAGGGATAACATATCCTGTATATAAATGCTATACAAATGCTGCATTTATATTGAAGAGACTCTGGTTTTGTTCTGAGGACCTAGCTCAGGAACCTTTACACAATCAGCATTTTTTGACAGTGCTGGGGTTTGAACTCAGGGCCTCATGCTTGCTAGGCAGGCACTTTACCACTTGAGTCAGGTCTTCAGTCCACAATCAGCATTTTTTATCAGTTCTGAGATCTAGCCTTTGTCTTTTTTGATGGTTCCAGGACCCACTGCTGATCACCAGATCTGTTGATGAAACCAACTTAAATGCTGAACAAGATTCTACTTAGAGGTCAGGGTCAGATGTCATAGTACTGGGGAGCAGAAGCCAGAGTTTGAAGAAAACCATAAGCTACTGTTAGCCTCACCCCTGACTGTGCAAGGTGAGCAACCTGCTTTCTCTGTACCTCCAACACCCTCCATCATTGAGCTGCTCCTTTTCTGGGGCCAGTGATGTCACATGCCACAAAAGAGAAGTCCCCTTTGAGCCCACAGAAGAGCAACCTAACAACCTACTCTTAAGCTGAGAAGTGCAAGAACTGTATCATTGACGGGGGCTACTGTTCAAGGGTCTACTCAAATAGTTTCACATACTTCTTCAAGTACTGATTGAAGCAGGAGGATATTAATGAAGAAAGATTGTAGGGGAATGTTTTTTAACCATTACTGGTTCAGTTTTGAAAATCTACAAAGCTATGGTCTTAGAAAAATATACAGTCTATATCAGTTTCCTGTTGCTGCCTGTTCCCCCTCCCATTCATATGTTTCAATTACAACCATCAAAGTGATGGTATTAGAGGGTGGAGCCTTTGGGAGATGAATAGGTCATGAGGAAAGAGCCCTCATGGCTGGATTAATGCCCTTACAATAGAGACTTCAGATAGCTAGCTTGACCCCTTCACTATGTGAGGACAGAGCAAGACAATGCCCTCTATAAACCAGACACTGAATCTGCTAGCATCTTGGAATCCCTGGCCTCCAGCACTATATAAGAAATCAATTTCTGCTACTTATAAACCACCCAGTGTTTGGTATTTGTTACAGCAGTCTGGACAGACTACCATAACAAACCACCACAAACTTGATGGCTTAAAAGTAGAGAAATGCTAGCAAGCACAAGTCCCTGAGTTCAAACTCCAGGGCAACAAAAAAGTATTTTCTCACAGTCCTGGAAGCCAGAAGTTTAGAATCACTTTAACTGGACTGAATCCAAGGTGTTTGCTGGTGTGCACTCCATTCCTTACTTCTTCCAGCGTCTGTTGGCTTCTAGCATCTCTCTGCTTGTGGCCAATCACTCCAATACTCTGCCCTATCTTCACACCTTGGCCTCTTTTGTGTGCATCACCTCTCCCTCTTCCTCTCTCTTATAAAGATACTTGTAATTGAATTTCAGGTCCACCTGGATAATCTCCCCAAGTCAACATCCTTACCTTAATCACATCTGCAAATACCCTTCTACTGCACAAAGTAACACTTACAGGTTCTATGCATTAGGACTTGATATACTGGGGTGGTCATTATTCACCCTGCTGCAGAGCCCAACATCTTTGCATACACTTTCGGAAAGATCATGGCCCTGGTTGCCAAAAGCCAGGTGTCCTTGGCTGACGCTCCCTGCTCAAGGCAGCCAGGCATGAGGGAAGGGTCTGTCAGCTACTATTCAAGGGGCCTATGGGCTCATTCACTGAAAAAAAAATAAAACTTTAAAGGGTGATTACAATAAAGATCAAGAAAATTGACATTATTAACAGTATTCCCCTAACCACAGCCCTCAGAGAGGGTTGGGTTCCTCTGATATGTTTCATCTACACCTCAGAATCAACCAAAAACACAAAATCATACCTACAACTCCTTATAAATCAAAATCCCCTACGGACAGAACCCAGGAATCTGCACCACTAACAAGATCCCCCAAATATTATGGAGCCATGGTGCTCCAAGTCTTCCTTCTGTTAAGTGGACACAATACCACTTCCCTCACAACAAAAGAGATGTCAGCAGTTTATTTTCACAAAGTGTTAATTCCCCTCTCCTTCCCCTTATATTAAGGTGAGGAACTTCCACTGTTTTACTTGATTTGGGTCCTGCCTCATGTTTAATATACTGGGCCTCCATATGGAAATGCAAATCAAAACCACACTAAGATTCCACCTCACCCTTGTTAGAACAGCAATCATCAAAAACACCACCACCATCAAATGTTGGCAAGGATGTGGGGAAAAAGAAACCCTCAGACACTGCTGGTGGGAATGTAAGCTAGTACAACCACTCTGGAAAACAATATGAAGGCTTTTTTAAAAACTAAACACAGATCTGCCATTTGATCCAGCAATACCACTCCTAGGGATATTCCCAAAGGAGTGTGACTCCGGTTACTCCAGAGGCACCTGTACACCCATGTTTATTGCAGCACTATTCACTATAGCCAAGTTATGGAAACAGCCAAGATGCCCCACTACTGACTAATGGATTAAGAAAATGTGGTATTTATACACAATGGAATTTTACTCAGCCATGAAGAAGAATGAAATCTTATCTTTCACAAGTAAATGGATGGAACTGGAGAACATCATCTTAAGCGAAGTTAGCCAGGCTCTGAAGGCCAAAAATCGTATGTTCTCCCTCATATGCGGACTTTAGACCTAAAACAAATGCAGTAATATTATTGGACATAGGCCACACGCTAAGGGGAGAACACATACAGGAGGAATAGGGAAAGGTAGGAAAACCAAAACTTGAAAGTGTTTGATGTGTCCACTGTTGAGGAGCTAATACAGTAACCTTAAAGACAGAGGTCAATATGGGAAGGTGACCAGGAAGTAGTGAAGAGGTCAGGTAAAGATGAATCAGTTCGGGTTGTAATACACATGTGCAGGAAGCAATGCTAGGAATCTCTCTGTATAGCTATCCTCATCGCGAGTAGCAAAAACGGTGTCTTTCTTATTATTGCTTATGTCTTCTCTTCAACAAAATTGGAGAAGAGGGCAGAACAGGTTCTGCCTGGAAGGGGGGTAGGGGGGCACCAGATGGGAGAAATGGCCCAAACAATGTATACACATATGAATAAGTGAATTTTAAAAAGAGCACAAAGGAGAAAAACAAAATGCACTGGGCCTCAAAACACAGAATTGAGTCTGCGGAGAAGGAAAGAAGATAGAGTCTCAAATTCTGGGGTAAAAATGCAAAGTAGCTCCCTAAGCCTGCAGTGCAATATTCGCTGCGCCAGCTTGTTGCATCCCTCCTTCCCCAGGCCCCCCCATTCCCGTTTCTGGGGGCGTCTGTTCACTTCAGCCAATGCGGCGCCAGGAGCCCGCCCCCGCACTCCACTGATTGGCTGCACTGGTCAGCTCGTCACGCTCTTTTGTCTCAGTGGGCAGGAGATAAAAGCAGCTGTGGCTGCCTTGGGAACCGCGCTGCTTCCATTCGGCTACCCCTTGCTGGGCGGCAGTGTGAAGTAGCTCCATAGGGCAGCCCCCTGGTCGCTTAGCGGCCGAGGAGCCGCCCGCCCTTTTCTCCTGCAGGGCAGCGGGACCAGAAAGCAGGAACTGTTGACCAGTTGTCCACTGCCTACCAGCGGCGCACAGGTAAAGGAGGAGGAGAGATTCCCTGGTGCGGAGAGGGAACTGGGAAAGCCTGCCAGTACTGGGTGGCTCCCACCTTCAAGAACTGGCCAACTGTGAGGCAGTTGCCCTATCTTCACATGGGGGTGCTTCTCCCCATGACTCGGCTGCCTTGAGGAAGGAGGTCTGGTTCATCTGGATGCTGCTAATTGGGTAGGATATGTCTGGATTGGAGAGGGGGCAGGGAAGGGGGCCACGCGTGGGAGGAGGGAGAAAGAGGGCAAAGGAAACGTCTTTGTCTTGAACCCCTTTTGCACCTACCTCCTCATAGCTTCCCCGGGAAGATTGCGAGTGGGTGTGTCCAACTCCTATTCCCTTTTTGCATAGCAGCCTCTCAAAGCGGAATCTGAACTTGAATTCTGTGCAGCTGACGTTAGAGCTGGTAAGCCGATGGTCCCCCGGGGTAAAATGGGGGGGGTCATTTTGGATTATGTTCAGAGGGTGGGAGGGAGAATTTTCCGCTTGGCGACTGCAGAGGTGGTGGGAGGGGAGAGGGAACAGCGGGATGACGATTGAGATTGCTTCTGACCCTTTGGTTCCCTGCCCTCCTCCGCTGTGGCGCAGTCTTGATGCCTAGAGCACCCGAATCTGCGATTTTCTGTAGACCGAGATCGATCAGACCCTGGAGGCAAGCTTTCTCACGGAGGGCAGGTTGCAGAGGCTGGAAATAAGGCGCACTCCTATTTTCCCAGCGTGTGTAAGCATCTAAGAAATAACGGGGGCGGTGGGGGAGGGAAGGTTGCGAAGGGGGTGTGGTTAAGACCAACAGGTCATGAAGTTAATGAGATCTTATTTTATTTTCCACGAATCTGTGACAGCTGTTCTCTATTTTGAAAGCCCAGTATCGGTTCTACACGCTGCTCAACCTAGAATTCGGAGCAACAGTTGCAGTACCTCTTGAAGGACTGGAAGGGAGGGGATGGATGTGGCTGCAAAAAGCACCTGTGCCTAGCGCGAGGACACTGGCTAGTTCTGGAAGGTTTTAATTGCCAGTCTCCAGTGTATTTTTAGGGCAGTGGGCAGATATGAAATGTAACGCAGGCTATTGAGGTAGGGAGTGAACACAGCTACAGCTTGTTCCTTTATTAACTGTCCTTCTTTTTTTCTTCTTCTTCTTTACAGACCCTGCTGGAATAGGAGGAAGGCAGAGCCTCCAGCACGCCTGCAGATTAAGCCTTTTTTTTTTTTCCTAGAAAGCTTGACCATTTTGTTGTATTGAGATACCCTATCGTTTATCAGGCATGGCTAGCATCCTTGCACGTGTGGGTAACAGCCGGCGGCAGAACGCAGCCTTGCCGCCTTGGGCCCATTCCATGCTGAGGTCCCTGGGGAGGAGTCTTGGTCCTTTGATGGCCAACATGGCAGAGAGAAACATGAAGTTATTCTCTGGGAGGGCAGTGCCAGCCCAGGGGGAAGAAACTTTTGAAAACTGGTTGATTCAAGTCAAGGGGGTCTTGCCAAATTGGAATATGTCAGAGGAGGAAAAGCTGAAACGCCTGATGAAAACCCTCAGGGGCCCTGCAAGGGAGGTCATGCGTTTGCTTCAGGCTGCCAACCCCAACCTAAGTGTGGCTGATTTTTTGAGGGCAATGAAACTGGTATTTGGGGAGTCTGAGAGCAGCGTGACCGCCCATGGTAAATTTGTTAACACCCTGCAAGCGCAGGGGGAGAAAGCCTCCCTTTATGTGATCCGTTTGGAGGTGCAGCTCCAGAACGCTATTCAGGCAGGCGTCCTAGCTGAGAGAGATGCGAACCAGACTCGCCTGAACCAGCTCCTTGTAGGGGCTGAGCTGAGTAGGGACCTGCGCTGCAGGCTAAAGGGTCTTCTCAGGATGTATGCAAATGAGCAGGAGCGCCTTCCCAATTTCCTGGATTTAATCAGGATGGTAAGGGAGGAAGAGGATTGGGATGATGCCTTTACTAAACGGAAGCGGCCCAAAAGATCTGAACCAATAATGGAACGAGCAGACAGCCCTGTGGCGTTTCAGGGGTCCCCGCCTAGAGCAAGTAGCAGTGCTGACTGCAATGTGATAGAGATAGATGATACCCTGGATGACTCGGATGAGGATGTGATTCTGGTGGAGTCTGAGGACCCGCCACTCTCACCCTCGGGTGCCCCACCTCTCAGAAGCAGGGCCACATTTGGGGACCAAGTGCTGGTCATTGATTCCCCTGACAATTCCCGGGCTCAGTCTCCTTCCACCAGCCGTGGCTTGGGGCGGAAGAATAATGGTTCTGGGGATGTTCGTAGATCCAGGAAGCGAAAACATGCAAATGGCTGTTCTCATTGTGGCCAGGAGGGCCATTCAAAAGAAACCTGTGACAATGAGAGTGACAAGGCCCAGGTTTTTGAGAATCTGATCATCACCCTGAAGGAGCTGACACATACACAGGAGGAGAGGCCAAGAGAGGCACCTGGGGAACCCAGTGAGCCCTCTGAGCTACAGTAAGGCGCCCACTCTCAGCCTTAAATGAGCCCTTACCTATATTCTGAGTTCAATGGTGGGAAACCAGGAGAGGGCAACTTCTAATTGCATGAATTAATCCACAAAGCGGCTTGCTTTTGGGGTGGAGAAAGGGTCTGGTATACCAACCAGTACAATGGAAGGAGATGGCCTGACCCCTGTCCTTGCTCCCTCTCTCCAAGAGTCTATTTTCTGTGTGTGCCCATTTCCTTGATGGCTTTATTCGCTTTGTGAAAGTGGCTTAATTCATTGTTAGATCTTAAAATATGATTATTTTTAGAAAGTACAAATTACCCAGAACTCTCCACCCTATATAACCACTGTCAGCCCTTTGGTGAATGTCCTTCCAGCTACTTCCCTCTACCTATATACTCAGATATATTTAAAGATAAAAGTGATCAAATATAAGTGCTATTCTATATGCTGTATTTTTTCATCAAATAATATATGTTGTGGCCTATGTCAATAAATATATATATCAGCATTTACTTTAGTGTCTCTGGTATTATTTTAGGAAGAAGGAAAAAGAAAATATAGTGAAAAGCTATAAAGGAGTGGGGTCATATTCAGAGGTGGGGTTTTATCGTCATTTTGCAGATGAAGAAAAGATTAAATGGGCTGAAATATTTCCCAAAGGTAAAGGATTCCTATACCACAACTAACCTGTCCCCTACCCACAGAGCCAAATTAGGGCATGTATTGCCACTACCTCATTGATTTCTTCTCTGATGTATCCAGAAGAAAGTGACGGGTAGTCTGCTGCTGAAAGGCCCATGCAACATGGAAATTCCATTCCTGTTTGCTGTGGAGAAGGCAGTTCTCCCTCTGGGCAGACTCCTTACATTTCTGCTGTTGTGATTCTGTTCACAACAATGAGTCTCTTCTGTGAGCTGACACTACCCTCTGCCTCCTCCCTGGTTAAGGAGAGAGTAGCCAGTCTTGGGGGCTCAACTCCTGACAGTCCCTGTAAACTCTGGTGCTGTATGCTACATGACTCAGCCCAAGGACTTCAAACTAACTCCATTCCAACCCAAGCTCACCCTTCATAGGGAGGGATGAAAAGCAATCTATTTGCCAGAGCACAAGAAAGAATATGGGAAGCCCTATACACCTTGATAGCAGAGTGGAAAGTATTCCCATGGGAAAGAGAAAAGGGCCATCCTAGAAACCTGCCCCTCATGAGCCCACCCTGTCTCATCTGGTCTCAAATTTAAGGGTGATTAAAGAAGACAGTGTGACCTTAGACCCCGAGGGTTCCTATGCTTCCCGTAGGTACATAAATTCCTATTTTTAAAAGCAGGACAGGGTTAGTCATGGAGTGGGGATGACTGTATGCAAGGCAGAGGAGTAGAGAGAGAGAGAAGAATATATGCATCTGAGGCCCAAGGGAATTTGTCCTGCAGGAAGTAGGGGCTCCACAGAACTGAAAGGAGAAGCATAGAGCTTTATGGGTTGGGACAGGGGTGAGATCACTATGACCAGGGGGACTCACATAGAGATTTCCAAGAACCGCGAAGTCTGGTAGGAATCGCAGAGCTGGTTTCAGGCAACATCCTCGGCTGTGTTGTACCAGGAGTGGCATGGGTTGAGGGTCCCAGAAAAGGGCAATAGGGTTTTAATTATGTTAGCAGTTGATAGCCCACTCAGTAGGGACCCAGGCTGAGGCCCTGAGGGACAGATGGTAGCCAATTGCTACAAGAAGTCTTCCCTGGGCTACCATGCCCAGACCCTCTTTCTAGAAACAGCCCCTCAGCTCCTCCTCAGCTTTTTGTTCCTGCTCCACCCATGACCTTATGATCTGACCTTACCATCACCATACCCTCTCCCTGAAGCCACACTTGTGTTTTGGTGACAGATATTGAGGCTCGCCTACTGTACTCTGCTGCCGTCTTTCTCCTCCTCCAGCACTCAATGGTGATTAGGCCTTCACCTCCAGAAAGAAACTGGGAGGGTCTCTCTGCCTCTGACCCTCTAGCTGAGAACTGAATCGGCTCTGCAAGAAGGCTACTTCTGGCATCCTTCCAGGGTACCTCTGAGCCCCTGGCAGCTCCCTCCTGTACCCCCAGGCAGAAGCAGCAATCCTTGTGCCCCAAAGCCACAGGAGCCCCCGACATACTCTGACTTGCATAGTTTTAACCCATAATTACTATCTACTTCTCCCTAAAACTACCCTTGGTGGGTATCTAGTCCTCACATCTAGTCCAGTTTAGAAAATGGCTCCCTTCCTAGCTCACCTTTTCTTGATTTTATGCTATAAACACTTGTTGAATGATTTGGCCAATAACACAGATTATACTGCCATATTTCCTTCCTTCCTTCTCTCCCTCCCTCCTTCTTTCCTTTCTTTATTGTGGTGGTATTGGTGTTTGAACTCAGGGCTTCACACTTGCTAGGCAGGTGCTCTAGCCATGCCTCCAGCCCTTTTTGCTCTGGTTATTTTGGAGATAGCATCTCCCTTTGAGATTCTCCTATTTTATGCTTCCCACTATGTCTGGGATAACAGCTGTGTGCCACCATGTCCAGCTTTTTTCTGTTGAAATGGGGTCTCACAAACGTTTTTCCCTGGGCTGGCCTGGAGCCTCAATCCTCTTGATCTCAGCCTCCCAAGTGGCTAAGCTTATAGGTGTGAGACACTGCATTCAGCTGATGCTATCATTTCTTTCTGGCACCAGGCTGAGTAGAAAAATGAAAAGAAAAAGAAATCAATTCTGTCCAGACCACCACCCTCCTTTTCACTGGAGTTAGCTGGGGCCTTCAGAATAGACCGCTGTTTGAAAAATCTGTTCTGTGATCCATCCAGTTTTTTTTCCCTCCCTTACCCTCTTCTCTGTGTCCATGTGAAACTGACAAGAATTTAACTTCACTAACCTAATGTATCCAACATTACTTTTTTATTTTGTGAGACATTGGCTTTTCCTTTATGCAAGAACTATGTATTTTCTCCAATTGGATACCTGGGTACTCAGAACACACTAATGGAGTTAGACAAAAGAAGGCTATTAGAGAATTCTGTGTCTGATAGCCTTCCTTTCAAGCTGTGGGCTTATGTTCCTCCTGCTTTCATTCTCATTGGTCACTAAGGGATGAAAACCGCTCCTTTCTCAGAAGAAGCTGGACTCTTGAGTGCCCTTTTGCATTATCTCTCTCCTTCCTGGCATCTTTTCTCACAGTTTCCATGACATCCTTCTTTCATGGCTCCCTCCTCCCTGGCCATTTTGGTGCTCACTTCTTAGTCTGGGTTGCTGACTCTTCTTCCTCTTCCTGATCTTTGTACTGACATTTTGTAGGGTTTGTGTCCCAGGCACCCTGTATTAAATGCACTTGCTCCTTTAATCCTCATACCAACCATGTAAGATATGCATTAATATTATCACACATTTAAGATAAGAAAACAGACTGAAAAATTAACTAGGGTGTGCAGCTAGTCAGTCATGGAACCAGAGGTCAGACTAACTAGGGTGACTAACTCCAAAGTTTATCTTCCTTCTGTGTTCACAGCACCCTACCATGTAGTGCCACTGTTCACATGTGATGCTGTGAAAGGAAAGTGAGGTTTAGAAATCCAGAATAGGGCCTGCCTTTTGTAAGTGTGCCCAGTGTAGGCGTGATTGGCACAGGGACTGCCCCTTGCAGGCTCCCAAAAAATGGCAGCTGCTAGGCCACAACCCATTACTCTGCTACAGAAGGAGGGTCGGGAGACAGGAAATGCTGTCCCTGCCATGCAGACAGTGCTTATTTAGTGCTAATCTGAGAATGTGACAGTCTGCTTCCTTGAGTGACACCAAGCCTGGCTTCTGACAGACATAGTAGTCGATTCAAAAATGCCTGCGATTTAACCATGATGATGATAATGGGATGTTAAATGCTGAAGTGGATTTCTTAGGCCAGAACAACACTAGCCCTATGCGGGTTTGTATACACCTTAGCTATGTATTGTATGGTGTCAATATTTGTCATTTACCTGAATCCTGAGGAAAAGGACACCCACTCTTAGTTGTTTGCTAAGCCCCAGAAACAAACGGCTAGCTTTGACCAGTCCGATAAATACTTCAGGTGGATTATTTTATTTAATCCTCATAAACACCTTGTAAAACAGATACTATTAATATGTCTATTCTATAGATTAGGAGACTGAGGCTGAGTTCACATTCTCTCGGCTACAAATACATATTTTCAGTACCAAAACTTCTTAAACAAAACTGCCTTATTATGTTTTGGTTTTTTTCCACAAGGTTGCTGGGATCCAGATTCAAGATAATTATTTGACCACTCTGTCATCCTGGTCGCCTTGCTTCAGCAGAGAAGGGAGGCCTCCACCCACTCGGGCTTGAGACGGCTCACTTGCGCCCTATGTTGCCAAACCTGGTGCCAGCCATGCTACCATTTTCGCAGCAGAGACCAAGATCATACCACCCTCTCTCTCGCCCAAGTACCACTAATCCATTGTCCGGCGGGGCTCGGCGGAGCTCGGCGGGGCTGGGCGGGGTTCGGCGGGACTCGGCGGAGCTCGGGGATTCTCGGCGAGGTCCGGCGGGGCTCGGGTGGACTCGGCAAGATTCGGCAGGGCTCGGCGAGCTCGGCGGGGCTCGGCGGGGCTCGTCAGGGCTCGTGCTGACGGCTCCGGCTTTGCCTGCTTCCGGACACCAGGGTGCGCTACGGCACAATGGCGTATCCCACGAGGGGCGGCTGCCACGTGACTAGGTATCATGCGCGGGGTCGTGGGGTCATTCGGGGGAGCCCAAGACAGTTGCGAGGAGGGAGCCGCGCGGCACTGTCCAGCCAGCTGGCTGCTTTCCTTCCTCCAAGGCCCTTGTAGCTCTGCGGGGGGGCCGAACGGTGGGGCTGTAGCGGGAAAGCGCCTGAAGTCTTGGCACAGCCGCGTGAGTTTCCCGGGCACTGGTGGCCCAGGGAGGAGACGCCTCCCCCTGACTTTGTGGCGTTTTTTGGCCTTCCCGGAAGACAAAGAAGGAGGGATTTGTCCCAGCCTTTCTCCCAGCTTGGAGATGCC